CAAGAAAAATAAAACCCAGGTATGTGAAAGACATTAACGTAAAAGACAAGACTATAATGCTTTTGGCAAAGAATATAGGGAATACCTTCATCATTTTGGAGAATAGAACAATTTCTTAAACAAAATATAAAAAGCATTAAATCAAAAAGGGAAAGCTTGATAAATCTGACATAAAAATTAAGAACTTCTGTTCATCAGAAGACAAAACTTAGACTGAAAAGACAAACTAGAAAAAGGAAGATACTTGAAAAGCTATAGCCATCAAAGAGCTTATATCTATAATATGCTAAAAGTTCTAGTCAATCAGTAAGATAAAGACTTGAAAAGACAGTTAAAGATAAAACCTAGGGACTAATAAAAAGGTATTCAATGTCATCAATAATGATGTTAAAATAGATAATAATATGCATATAATAAGCTAGCTGTGGCGCCTGGTTGGCTCAGTCAGTTAAGCATCTACCTTTGGCTCAGGTCATGATCCCCAGGATCCTGGGACTGAGCCTCTTATTGGGCTCTCTGCTCAGTGGGGACCCTGTTTCTCCCTCTCCCTTTGCCCCTCCTCCAGCTTGTACTTTCTCTCCCTCACTTGCTCATTCTCTGTCTCTCAAAATAAATAAATAAAATCTTTTTTAAAAAATGCTAGCTAAAATGCAGAAGTTTGACAATACCAGATACTGGAGAAGGTTGGAATAACAAGAATTCTCATTCACTTCTGATGAGAGTATGGATAACCACTCTGGAATACATTATATGTTAAAGTTGAAGACTAACTACTAAAATTCCACATATCCACTGCTAGGTATATATTCTATAGAAATGTGTTTATGTGTACCAGGAATCATGTATAAAATGTAAATAGTAGTTTTTATAATATACAAAGATTGAAACCAGTTCAAATTATCTATTAATAGTACATTGGCTATATTATGTACTGTCACATAACAAAACTGAAGCAGCTTTACAAATTAAAACAAACCAGAGCTACACAACAGGAATGAATCTTAAAAAGATGTGTCAAACAAAAGAAGCCCAACACCCTTAAAAATACACGATTCCATCTACAAAACATTCAAAATCAGCGAAAACAAAATAACTACTTATTTAGGGAAGTAGACAGGTAGTAAAATTATAAGCACAAAGGAGTAACTGCCACAAATCACTAGACAATGGTTACCACTAAGGTACTGGAAGCAGGACAAGAGATAGGATCCAGAAGAGGGTTACAATGGACTCCTGAGGAGCAAATTTTAAAATGATCCCTTCTCTAACCTGGGTGGTGGTCACATGAGTGCTCGTGTTCACCTTCATATTCTTTAAATTGTACATCTATGTTTCACAGTTCTATGTATCTCCAAATTTTTAAATAAGAAATTTCAAAAAAAATTTTCAGATTTTAACAGCAAAACAGTCATGAACATACATGATCACTCTGTTCTCTGGAAAGCAAGGAGTGACTGTTTCTCTCACTTTCCAGAAAGGATACCAAAGTATGGAACTGTAAGTGTTGAAACCAGATCTAGAACCCAAGGTCAAGGTTTCGCCAATCAAGTATTCACTACCCAGATTCTCCCAGCACAGAGGAGATGCATAGGAAAGAAATCGTAAATGTGGTATAAGCTGCCCCATCTCAAAAAAGACTCCGAATAAGGCTCTTTAAGGCTTCCGGCAGGGACACTTTATTTTTTGGTTAAAGCCACATTGATTGAAATGCCATAAAAACAAACATGTAAACAAGGTATCAGAACTTTGGTTCACTGAGAACACCTCACACCTAAAACATCTGAGGTACAAAGGCACCTTGCTAGGTGCTAGATAGCCTGATTTTGCTGCAGCCACCCTGACCCAACTTTTGTGGCCAGAGGTGGCACAGGCTGACCAGAGAGGTCAGGACCCAGGTCACCCAGGACCCTCCCCAGTCGGTTCTCCCTTTGCTCCAGACAAACATTTATTCCAACAAAGTCCCAAGTGATAGGGCCTGGAACATACAAAGGTGTCTGTCATGTTGAACTTGAGGATGACATGGGCTGTAGGGCCAGGAAAGGGAGGGGCAGAAAACGAAGTCAGTCAACTTCTGTTGATCCACATGGCCTCAAGAACTCCTGTCCTCGTTCATGGAACCACTTATTGGAGACTGTGAACAAAAGGAAAGTATGTTACAATCCTGTTGGTTAGTTTAGCAGCCAGAATGAATGACTCCTTCATGATGAACCCCACACTGGGCCCTGGAACTCAAACATGAGTAAGATATGGTCTCACACCTCAAGCTGCTCATGAGCTGGTAAGGAAGAGCTCTGTATAAATAGATAACTGTTCAAAGGTGATAAAAGATACATACGTGTACATTGCCATGGAAACTGAACCAAAGGGCATCTAACCATGAAGAGGAGACTCCAGGCTGGGACATGATAATGAACAGGAGTTATCCAGGGAAGAAGATGGATATACCAGATGACTCCTTTATCAAGGTGGTCCAAGAAGTAGGAACAGGATAAGAAAGACATCAAGGCATGAACCACCCTGGCATGTATGAGGGACCTCAAGCAGCTTGATATTACTGGGAAGGAAATGAGATATAGAAGCCAAGGGTGAGGAAGCCTGTCAGGACTGTGGAGGGCCTGGACCATCAACCTCAAGACCTGGGGACCAGCTGACCCGGTGTATATACTTAAGGCAGCAGAGGAGCAGAGCCGGTGCTAGCACTGTCTGTCACCTGAAGCCGTGCCCCCAATCCATGTGACACGCCAGTTCATTCCTTAACACAGACTCTTAGAATGATAAAACAAATTTATCCCAATGCACTACTAAAGCCATAGAGCTTTTATTTTTTTTTTTAAAGATTTTTATTTATTTATTTGACAGACAGAGATCACAAGTAGGCAGAGAGGCAGGCAGAGAGAGAGAGAGGAGGAAGCAGGCTCTCCGCTGAGCCGAGAACCCAATTCGGGACTTGATCCCAGGACCCTGAGATCATGACCTGAGCCGAAGGCAGAGGCTTAACCCACTGAGCGACCCAGGTGCCCCAAGCCATAGAGCGTTTAAAGTAGAAATGCACTTAGTTGAAAAAAATTAAATTGTCTACAAAGCTTAAAATGAATAAACAGCGATTTTCTACCCAACCCTTCCACTACGAAACCCCACTTCAAGAGGACACTCAATATCTTTTATTGTTTCTTCTATTTAACCACATATTTCTTTCTTTCTTTTTTTTTTTTTAAAGATTTTATTTATTTATTTGTCAGAGAGAGAGAGGGAGAGAGAGCAAGCACAGGCAGACAGAATGGCAGGCAGAGGCAGAGGAAGAAGCAGGCTCCCTGATGAGCAAGGAGCCCGATGTGGGACTCGATCCCAGGACGCTGGGATCATGATCTGAGCCGAAGGCAGCTGCTTAACCAACTGAGCCACCCAGGCGTCCCTAACCACATATTTCTAAATAACATCCTTATACTGCTATCTCTTGACTTTTAATTTTTTAATTCTTTTATTCTACCTCTAAAACACATACTTATCACATCCTATCTTCCCAATAGTGTTAAATCACAAATTTTAATTAAATCAACATACAGTGCTTTCATTATCATGTCACGTAAATGTTGCTCATACCTGAGCCACCCAGCAGTGTATGCTGACATTTCTAGTACAACGTTTTCTTTTCCCTGAAGTCAGCAATTGTTTATTTTGTTTCTAATTGCCTAACTTTCTGTGAACCTACCACTCTTACCCCCAAAACTCTCCAAGAGGTATAAACACCTCTGTTTGCAATCACTTCCTATCATCCTCACCCAAGCCTCTCTCTGGTTCACCATAGCTGCTTCCAGAACAAAGCTCAAAGCTCTGGCTTCAGTCTCTGTAATTTGGTCCCAGACTTGAGCCTCATGTTCTGGTCCCTGTGCCACAGGCCTCCCCTTATTTAAGGGACAAAACAGCTGGACTCCACACCCATGATGCCAGTTTTAGTGTGGGCCTTGTTCCATGTGAGCCTTGCTTTTCTGGGTCACCCCTTCCCCATTCTGATTCCAGTTCTCTCCCACTGCTCCCTCAGAACCCCTGCCTGAAGCCACTCCTCTGGGAGCCATCCTGAACCTACAGTGGTTGTGTAGCTATTCTTCCTTGGAGCTCCCTCAGCAATGTGGGCATCCCTGAACGTGTTCCCAACCAGCTGTCCTGGCCCATAATTAGCTTTGAGGACAGCTACATGGCTGGATGAGACAACCAGTTAGTAGGGGGAAAAGGAAAAACTCAAAAAGGAAAACAGTCTTGGCACTGTGAAAATAGGGCAGCAGGCACCTCCCAACTCAGAGTCTAAGGCTGACCACAGAGCCCAGGTTAAGGTCACTCACCCCACTTGCAGCCCACAAGCACAGGACAGGCAGCGTGTCTCGTACGGTAGTCACCTTCCCCACTCCGCAGGAGGTTATACCAGAATACAGCAGTGCCCTAGGAAAAAGAGACAGCCCATCAGACAACACTCTTAGATACGGGGCTCAAGGACAACACCTCCCTAGGCAGAAACACCCTCACCTTCCTGTGTACAAAGGGACAGGGCTCTGGCATTCCAGCAATATAGAAGTATCCACCCTTCATGGTGGGGCAGGTGTTTAATAACCCACCTTCCCCCAAAGGGCCTTCCCTTCCCAGCCCATCTCCCCAGATAGAAGCTGAGGCTACAATGTCAGAGTTCAGGCAGGGAGGGGCTAAGGCCGCTCACAGTAAGAGTCAAGCAGCCAGGGAGTGGGAACTGGGAGCTTCAACCTGTGACCCACAAAAACCAGAACTTACCTTCTTCGGCCAAATCGCAGCCCCCAGATCAGGAAAAACAGTGGCACCACCAGCTTCTACATCACTCATCTGGGAATACAAAGCATAGAGCTTGGCCCCTGTACTCAAAGCTCTCAGAACAACTGAGCCACCAAGGACACTAGTATGCAGATTACCTTTCCTGAGCCAGAGTGGCACTGCTTGAAGGCTCTGCTCCACAGCCGGCCCTTCCACCAAGAGAAGCTCATCCAATGCATTACCCCTCCCTAAACCCTGCTTCATCTGTGTGGTTCATCAGGATAGTCCTATGCCAGGGGCACTTGAGAGTGGTAGCCCTGTAGGAGACCCAAACCCTGGCTGTCCTCGGATGGGAACAATCCAAGTCTGTACATGGAAAATGCCTGACGGACCCCCCGCTCTCGCATCACCATCCAGCCTGGGCCACACCTTGGGCACTGTGCTCTGGGAACTGCCCTAACTCAAAGCTCCCTGCTGCTCCCAACACCATCTATCTAGCCCCCTGTGCGGGCTCTGTTTCTCAGTTCTAGCACCACCCTCACCTTCCCAGAACGGCAGCCCTCCCCCAGGGCCAGCGCGGTGAGCACACAGGGTATGGTTCCACAGGCCCTGCTTTCTCCCAGGGAGGCTTCCAACTACATGGAACACAAGCACCACGGTAGGGAGGCTACACTTAGGACCACAAAACGGGCCTCAACTCCTGCCCAAGGCACCACTTCGCTCTCATCTGGCTGTCTCACTTCAAGTTTTTTGTCTACGATGTAATAAAACATGGAGTTTTAAAAATATTTCCACAGGATGCATGCCAGACAGACTAAAAAGCACTCAACAGACATATGGTAAATGAGTAAGAAGAAAACCTTTGATGGCTTCCCACAGGCTTAGGGATCAAATCCAGGCTCTTTTCTAGAACCCAAAGGCCCTGTCTGTCTCAGCAGCCATTCTCTCGCCCCAGCCACTCTCGCCTCAAGCGCTGCCTCTGAGTCACACCAGTCTTCTTCCCTTTTTCCACCATCCCCAGCCCCTTCCCTTTTCCAGGTCTCCACACATTCTCCCCTCCGCCAGAAACCATGTTCCACCAACTAATTTCCACTCAACCTGCAAGTCTCCACTGACACATTACTCCACAGGGAGGCCTTCTCTGAACCTCAACCCTGAGCCACTTTTTCAAGGTACTTGTCCCCACAGTAACTAAATAAATTACCTCTCCTGTGGTTAAAGCAAGTCTCTCATGTTAGACCATAAAGCCCACAAGAGACTCCACTTGTCCTGCTCACTAGCACGTTCATGGCCAGCCCCAGAACATAATAACTATACACAAAAACATAAATGAGACATCAAAGGAAAAGATGGCCACAGGATTCCATCTCTAAGTTACTTGACAGTCTGTATGCCTCTTTAGAGCAGGCTCTCTAAGCAGAGGGGAAAGCAAACTGCTCCTCGTGTGAGAGGTAAACCTGACGGCCTGTGGCTGGAGCAAAGGCAACAGATGGGAGGCAGGCCACTGAGCTCTGGAGAAACAAAGGCAGCTTTCATTTAGGAGGGCCTCATGGCAGCCTCCTCACTCTGCTGCCAAGGATGGAACTCTCCAGAGCACTCACCCCAAAAGTCCTGACTAGCACTGGGCCCATCAAAAAGAGCCAGAGATATGAACGTCAGGGATGTGGGTGAGCACAGAGATGGGAACACAGACCAAATCTCTCCTCCAGCCAAGAAGAGTGCTGAGGGCCAAAAGGGCCCAGCCACTGAGCGGCAGCTGGTGATATCAGCCCTGACAAGAGTGGATATGAGATAGCACTCTGGACCCAGATTCCCCGAGGGCCCATTTGCTGCATGCATCATACTCACGTAGTTTAAGAACGTGGCCACACGATTCCCCGTCCCTAAACGCTTGAAAGCATCTTGCTCATTTTTCTATAAAATTAAGTGAGAATGAACAGGTGGACCTGGCCCCAATACTTACATAGTTAAGAAACGTCGCTAACCTATTCCCCTCCGTTTTGAGGCCGCTGTCAAAAGGTCGCTGCAACAAACAACAACTTTCACCCACGTTTGCAGATGATTCCACCCCCACTTACAGGACTGGGGCCAAAAGGGTCAAGGGACAACACTAAGCATGTGTTCCATACATCAGCCTGGACCATGGTTTTTCCTTTCAGCAAAGAAAACCCTGGCCAGGGCACAGGGGGACGGGGGCAGGAACAGCTTTCACAAAGACCTAGTCAGGGCCCATGCTTTATAGTCATGGCACAGTGAAACAGCTAGGCTGCACTGGGCTCCAAAGGCCCCATGTTCCTGATTTGGACTTTTCCAGGAACAAAGACTTGGCCCTGGTAAGGCATGGGGTGGGGGTTGGGGGGCACTGATGTCAAGTCTGAAATGTTCTAAGAAGCTTCAGCTTTCTCAAGTCAGAAGGAGCAGGGCCCTCTACAACACCCATGGTTTGGACCTTACCCTAGAGAAGTCAAAATGTGGCTCGTATTGTCCTCCCATTCCATAATTAGCAACCTGGTGGGAAATAACAGCAATGGACCTTGTCAGCAGCATGAACAGTCCTGAAACAGCCCATCTCCGCAGGGACACCGTGTCCCCACATGAACCAAAATAACCTGCATCCTTAATAACCAGAACCCCCAAGTGCATCCCCTCGAAAGTAGATGGTAAGTATGCCCTGCCAGCACAGGAAGCCCACATGCATCCAATGTATTCATGGCTCTGTCGCAGAGTCAGGCCACAGCATAAATGGGGTTTCCCAAACACAGCAAACTGGGCAACCTGCAGGCAGCCCCTGTGGAGAAGCTCCAGCCCTTCAGGGACCCTCAGAGGGCAGAAGGGAGTGCTTTCCTTGAGACAGGCCCTGGCTGGGGCCCTATTTGTTTGCAGGATAATAGAAAGATAATCCAAGGAAATCCAATGAGAAACCCAAGACAGGAACTTTGCTTTTATGCTAGCTCGGTAGCTCCTGAGGACCTGACACTGCCCCTACCCCAGGTCACTTCACCCTGGTTGCTGTCCCAGGTCAAAGGGAGCCGGGAGAACATACCCTACTCCCTCTCACAGTGCTTCCCTGCAGGGAGTAGCTGTGCATCCAAGTGAAACAGCAGGCCCCGGGCAGCTGACGACTGCTACGCCCTCAGCGTCCCCAGAAGGAGCCTGTGCCTGGAGTAGGACCTGAGCCATCTTAGCTTCCACAACTACCAGACATCATTAATTGGACTATAAGCTGTAAATGCCCAACTGAACAGTTTACCAGCACAACGTAAGTCTTAAGTCAAACATGGTTATTCTAGCCACAGTGGACAGAATGAGAAACAAAGTTCAAGACAAAGTGCAGAGTCTAATAAGGAAGATGATAGATCAGGTGGTACCACCGATGTCCACCTGGGAACACTTGGCTACTGTATCGTACTGAAACCCTAAAAACCTCTGGGGCTCAGCTATCGGTATTCAGGAAGTTGGTATTTTTTGCATATCCTTTTTGGCGATTCCAACAGTCAGATGTGAGAGTCTGCAAAAGTGGCAATAATTAAGACCTATAGACATGAGGGAGAGAGTAGGAGGGGGGATACTTTACAAAAAAAAAGAAATCCTCTTATTGGAAAAGAAAGCAGGATCTATCAAATGTGACGTAGTGAATTAGGACAGCATGATTTTCAGGGTCTGCAAAATTAAAAATTTTGATATGAAGAAAATATGCTATCACAAGCTGCTTCAGCCTTCAAGATGCCTGCACCAGAAATACCTGGAAATCCTGTCAACAGTGCGAGGAGGCCAGATTCAGCAGATGACCCTAAGCCTGGAGGTGCATCTAAGAAGGGAAGTGCTACAGCCATTGATAAAGTCACATTACAAACACTTTCATAGGGAACTTGGAAGAAAATTTTCAACATGACTGGGATTAGGGTGCGAATGCACTCTGCAAAATTTGATCACCGCTTGATGCGGGAACTGCAGAAAATGACTATATTTTCCAATACTCCCATTTGCGGGATGGGATGCTTAAACTTGCAGATGTCATGGAATGAAAGAAGCCACATCACCACAGCAGGCTCATCTTTTAAGTTTTGGGAATCCCATTGAATCATGCACCGATGCTATTGTGTCTACACTATTTAACACTGTCCCCAAAGACTGCAAGTGTCATGGAAGCTTGTGGATGTGCAATTGTGGATGTGGGCAAACTCCAAGCCCAGACTCACAACTTTAATAACAAGCAACTATACATCAAAACCGATTCCTTGGCTAAAATTAACAAGTCAGGAAATGATATGTTGGCAAGGATGCAGAGAAAGGGGAACCCTCCTACACTGTTGGTAGGAATGCAAGCTGGTGCAGCCACTCTGGAAAACAGCATGGAGGTTCCTCAGAAAGTTGAAAATAGAGCTACCCTACAACCCAGCAATCATACTACCGGGTATTTACCCTAAAGATACAAATGTAGTGACCCGAAGGGGCACGTGTACTCCAATGTTTACAGCAGCAATGTCCACAATAGCCAAACTATGGAAAGAACCTAGATGTCCATCAACAGATGAATGGATAAAAAAGATGTGGTGTATATATACATGCAATGGAATATTACTCAGCCATCAAAAATGGAATCTTGCCATTTGCAACAACGCAGATGGAACTAGAGTATATAATGCTAAACAAGATAACTGAATCAGAGAAAGACATTCATCATGTGATTTTAATCATATGTGGAATTTAAGAAGCAAAACAGAGGAGCATATGTGAAGGGAGGGAAAATAAAATAAGATGAAATTGGAAAGGGAGACAAATCATAAGAGACTCTTAATCACAGGAAACAAGGGTTGCTGGGGGGGGATGGGATAACTGGGTAATGGGCATTAGGAGGGCATGTGACATAATGAATCCTAGGTGTTATATGCAACTGATGAATCACTATGCCTCTGAAACTAATAATACACTATGTTAATTAATTGAATTTAAATTTAAAAATAAATAAATACCGCCCCCCCAGCCAAAAAACACCCTGATTCCTGTGATAGCATTCATTTGACTCATTAGATGTGTTGTTACAAAAATAGAAGAGCCAATCATTTGAAAACCATGAGTATTTATTATACTGAAGTCAGAGTGAAGACAAAAAAAAAATGGTCAGAAATTACTTTTTTAGTAAAGCTGAGACATCAAGTCAGAAGTGCGTTCAATCTTAGAGAATTCTGTCATCTCCTCCACTATCAGACAAGCCTTCATCCAATTCATAAGAAAGCCTCAATTGCTTTTTCTTCCAAATGATCGATTGCAAACACACTGGCCACAGGTGAAAGAGTGTCAACAGGGAGCAGAAGAACCAGCTCCTTTCCAGAAGCCTGTAACATTTTGAGGGGCCAGGGAGTACAGGCTCTTGCTCGTGCCTAGGCACTGGTTATACCACAAACAGTCCGTGCTGAATGAGCACCTAGAGGGAGGTGCTGAAACCCAGGTCCCTGTCCCCCAGACCACAGAGGGTCAAAGCTTTCAACACTGCCAGCAGGCAAAGTTAATGCCAATATAGTTCCTAGAAGACAAACAAAAATGGGGCCTCAGTACCTGGGCAGCTGTGGTCTGGATCTTCCAGAAGAGCCTTGACTGTAAGAGACCCTCTACACGGAGTCCTGGCATTTGGATCCCACTCATCACTGACCTACAAAAGGATGATAGGCCAAACTTGATGGAACCAGGGTTGTGGCAGAGAAGCCAGTCCCAGTACGAAGCTGCTGCCTTCTCGGCTGCATGTGAGATAGTGGACAGAGCGTGTAGCCAGGGAGTCAGCTGGGAGGCCAACAGTGGCACAGGTCCCATCCAGTCTCCTCAGCCCACTGGTCCAGGGTATGGGATCAGCCAAACAGAATGCTGTCCTCGATGGGGGCCATGAGAGTCCTAACACTGGCTCTGACCGTGACAGATGCTTTATAACAACAGACCAGCTCCACAGAGACAGGAAACCCAACAATGCCAATAGAGACGCACCTAGTGCACTGAGAGTCCCTACTGCTCCTGAAATGGTGGAAGTAGGAGATGTGGCAGAAGTCCTCTATTAATGTGCTTGTTTATGGAACTACCTTAAAATTAAATTAAGCTTGGGGTGCATGTGTGGCTCAGTTGGCTAAGGATCTGAATCTTGATTTCCACTCAGGTCATGATCTCAGGCTGGTGAGATCGAGCCTCGGCGTGGACTCTGCTTGACATTCCCTCTCTTCCCCTCTCCCTGCTCACACACACTCTCAAATAAATAAAATCTTTTTTTTTTTTTAAGATTTCATTTATTTATTTTACAGAGAGAGAGACAGCAGAGAGAGAGAACAGAAGCAGGAGATGCGGAAGAGGGGGAAACCCCCCCCCCCCCCCCCCCGCCCAGGGAGCATGACAGGGGTGGGGCTGGACTGCAGGACCCTGGGATCATGACCTGAGCCAAAGGCAGATGCTTAATGACTGAGCCACCCAGGTGCCCCAATAAATAAAATCTTAAAAAAAAAATTAAATTGGGCTACTGGGTGACTCAGTCATTAAGTGGCTGCCTTTGGCTCAGGTCATGATCCCAGGGTCCTGGGATTAAGCCCTGTGTCAGGCTCCCCACTCAGTGTGGAATCTGCTTCTCCCTCTCCTTCTGCCTGTCTCCCCAGCTCATGTACACATGTACTACCTCAAATAAATAAAATCTTCAAAAAAAATTAAGTTTATAAACTCAACATTAAGTTGGATTGAACTGAAGATTATATAAAATTTTCACAACACTAAATGGTAATCAGCATGTATTTAAAAACTGGTGGATTTCACACAAATCCACAAAGAGGATCTTCAAAATTGGTTTTCTGATTGCTGACAGAGCTACAGAAAAAAAAAAAAGAAAAAAAAAAAACAACCTCAGTCATTTGCTTGATTAGAGAATCTTCTAAATGCTCTCCAGTTCAATATTCTAATGAAATCTATAGTTGCCAAGCCTAAAGATCAAAGGTGCAATCCTTAAATATACAGAAACTCTGGCCAGACAGACCCAAAGGACTCTTAAAAAATGCCAGTGAGGGGTACCTGGGTGGCTCAGTCGATTAAGCATCTGACTCAATTTCAGCTCAGATCATGATCCCAGGGTCATGGGATCAAGCCCCAAGTAAGACTCTGCGCTCAGCTTACAGTCAGCTTGAGATTCTCTCTCTCCCTCTGCCCCTGCCCCTCCCCCTGCTAGTGTGTATGCACGTGCTCTCTCTCTCAATAAATAAATAAAATATTTTTTAAAAATGCCAGCAAAACTTCTCTGGCAGTGTCTCAGGTCATTACTTTACAAAAAAACCCAGAAATTCCAATGTTCAGAAGGCAGCGTGGACAAAACAGATTTGAACTCAATATACAACAGAGAATATATTATTAGGAGCCCTACCCAACTGCCATGTGTCTTCACAATCACCTTCGAAATAAAGGCAGAAAGCCAGGGTTCCACAGGGGCTACTTTGAAAAAAGGTCTCCATTCTCATCGGCATCTCCCAACCTCTCACTTTTCTGACCAACACATCACAAAATACCTTACCTCCAGTTGCGTGTGAACCACGTGCATCCGAACTATGACCCCTAAAGATATTCACATTTCTCTTAGAAGTGTTCCTAACACAACGTAGGATTTCAGCTTCCATAGTCAAGAAATACAAATGGGTCTGCCACGCCCACCACCAGTCCCTAGCTCCTCATATGATACTTGGGCACATAGAAGATGATCACTACCTGTTGCATGATGAACTGTCAGAATGACAGGAGGCATGCTTACTTCTGGCTTCCCTGTGCGAGGTCACTCCACACCCAAAGCACTGTGCAGCCACATGGTTCACTGGGCAAGCCTCCGGGAGCCTCGCTCTGGGCACCCTGCAAGACCTTCTAGCCAGAAACAGCCGCTTCCCAACCCCAGGATCCCGGGGGCCGGTCATACCTGCAGCAGTTCTGCAGTCTTTACGGTGAGCCCCGTGATGTGCTGCATCCGGAGATTCACTCGAGCCACGACAGGGTCATCATCCTCCTCCAGCCATGAGCTAAGCCAAAGGAGGGAGAGAAAGGAAGGTGGGGAAGGCACCTTACAGGAGGTCTCACACTCTCCCCACAGTCAGGGCCAGTACTAACAGGCAGTACAGGGTGAGTGTTCTAAGTAGGGAAGGTGCTGGCAGGAAGGACAAGCCACGCCAAGCTCCCTGGAGTATAAACTAGGAAGCCCTGGAGATAGGCTGGAGATAGGGCTGGAGCAGCCACCCCCGCCACCCCCACCACCACCACCTCTGCTAACCTTTTGGAAACCCTGTAGCTGGCAACAGTGAGGACGCCTGTCTTGGGATCACGTACAGTGGCTCGTGCAAGCTGGAAGGCAGGAAGAGAGGGCAGACTTATCCTTCTTTGCCTTGAGTGTTTTTCTAGAGAGACTGGGACCAGATCTGCCATTCAGACCAGTGGGGGAAAGAAGTTTTTCAGGTGGTTGGCCCTAGACAAGGCACTGTGATCCTGCAAGCCACGCGAGGGCAGGAGTCTAAGGCCCCCACATTCCTGCTTGGCGGTCACCCCCGGGCCACTGCCCTGCTCTCACCCAGGTCTGTGCTATCTGCAGAACTGTGTCTCTGGAGTCCCCTTTGACCATTCACCCATCTCATTCACCCGTTCTCACCAGGCACACATACCACCCCTGCCTGAGCGCCACCTGTGTGTGGCTACTCCCACCACATTCAGACTGTGTCTCTGTCCCTGAGCCTCAACCTTGTACACTCCTCTTGACCTGGTCCTTCTCAACCACAGCAGCCTCCTCTGCCAAGAAACCTACTCAAACGCCCTTCTGCTGCAGCAGCTCCCACTGGGCTCCCACTGCTGTGAAGAGCAAAGATAGGAGGCACACCTTCTACTCACTTAGGAGCCTTACAAGGTCAGATGACAGCATCTGGAAAGGACTGTACAAGTTGAAATACGTGATCTGCTGCCTGAAAGCCACCTACCTCTCCATATGTATGCTAACACACACACACATCCACAAACACCCCTGACCTATCTCCTATCCTCTCACTCCACAGACAGCTACAGTGGTGCTCCAAGGAAGCACATGCTGCCCAAAGGCAGCTCACTATGCTTCAGCTCTGCACGGTCCTAATGATCTCACACGGGTGGGACCATAGACCCAGATACTCCCACCCCAACAGCACTTCCCCCCGATTTCAATAAATAGTTAATGAGCACCTGCTATGTGGCTGGTGCTACACTGGGTGACCGAGACATGGCCCGTGCCCTCACACAGCTCAGTCTGTGGGAAAGGCAGAAAACTAGCTGCTTAACCCTGCAGCACAATACGGGAGGAGCTGGAAGCAGGTAAGCTTCATGTCTGTGGAAGCTCAGTCTACACAGTCAAGAATGGTCAGGGGAGACCACCTAGCTGAGAATTAATGGGTAAGCAGGAGTTAGCCAGGTAGGGGAGCACTACAGAACAGCAATGCAGAGGTTCAGGCACAAAAATGGGTGTGACACCATCACCGTGGATTAGACATTAGAGGTTAAGATGAGAAGAGGCCAAAGAGGCAAGTGGAGACCAGGCCTAGAAGCAAGTCTGCAGTGAACAAGAAACAGGGAAGGCAGGTAACAGACACTCACAATCACAATGTGGACACCTCAGGGAGAGCTAACTAACGAAGGGCTGGGGTGGTAACAAGGTGGCCAGAGAGGAGCTCCAGGCAGAGGGCAAGGCAAGAGTCAATGGCAGAAGGGATAGAGAGGTGTGGATGCACCAGAAGACTGGCCAGGAGACCACCTTGCCAGGACACTGTGCTGCTGCACCCAGTTCTGGCAACGTGGCAGTGTACCCGGGACAGATGGCTTCCCTGAGCTCCTATCTATGATTCCTCCCAATGACAAGTGCAGCTGCAGCTAAGCCCCATCCAAACATCTAAGCCTCACTGCTGGCCTGACATCCACACGGAGGCTGTGAGCAGCTGTGTTCTCCTCCCAGAGATAGGCAGGGCTATTTTGAAAGCAGGCCATGGACCCAAAAAAAGCAGCTGCCCGGCATTCTCCACAGGCCAAGTTAAACTCATGGGCTCTACTTCAAAGTCAGAATAGCATCTGTCCCTCACAGGCTCCAGAAAGGAGAGGTCAGCTTGTGACAGCCCATGTCATAGCTTCTATTCAAAGACAAGTTTTCCCAACACTCCCCCCACACCACCCCTGCCACACACATGCACATACACACCCAGCATGAAAACACACACAGAAATGTTTTAGTGCCTTCGCCTGAGGGACAACTGAGCAATCTCAGGAGGTCCTACCATAACAAAGCCTCTCTCACCTGGCAACCAGGGAAACAGTCTTCTTCCTTAGAGGACTTTGCAGCTGACCCAGGGAGTAGAAAGGGTGGGTACTGGTCCCCATTCTCCACACACACTTGCTAGACCATCCCTCAGCAACCTCAATGGCCGATTCTGGGGGCTAGATGTCCTTGTACCTCAAGCCAAGGTCGCTTCAAGATGAGGTGCAGGGGGGCCAGGATGGGAACCTATTTTCCGTCTCTCCACAAGTGTAGGGTCTCTTGGCCACTACAAGTCTATCGGGCACAAAGCAACAGAGGCTCCAGCTAAATGTCCCCCTTGTAATCACCAGTGATAGGAAAAGGGTGGGGACATGGTAGGAAGTGGTTCTCTGAATGACGTCAAATGGGAACAAATCTTGTATGAACTAGAAATACAAGAATAATTTTACAGCCTAATGACGCATGTACAAAACCAATGGCCAGCTGCATACTTAGCACCGAAATACCAGAGTGATCTCCAGGAAATTCAGGAAAAAGACCAGGATGCCAAATGTTAACAATGCTCAAGGAGTTCTGGGCAGTTCAATGAGATGATAAAAACAAAGGAAATATAATTATTAGGAAAGAGAAAACAATCTTTATTTGCAGCTGATGACAGTGTCTGAACAATGAAGAGAATCAGCTAAAAATCAAAAGAGTAGTAAGCTGAATAACTAGCTGCACGCTGCAGGGGTCTGTTTCCCTGTGGGTAAAATGAAGACAGTGACAGTGTGCTTACCAGACGTGAGAGTTAACGTATGTTTAAGCACTTAAAACAGGGCCTGTATCACACTTAAGAACTCAGAAAACAGGGGCACTTGGGTGGCTCAGCTGGTTAAGAACCCAACTCTTGATTTCAGCTAGGGTCACGATCTCAGGGTTGTGAGATCGAGCCCTGAGAAGGCACCAGGCTCAGTGGCAGTCTGCTTGAGATCCTTTCCCTCTGCCCACCTCCCCCGCTCACCCTCACTCATGCATTCTCTCTCTCAAATAAATCTTAAAAACAAACAAACAAACAAACAAAAAACCACCTCAGGGGCACCTGGATGGCTCAGTTGGTTAAGCATCTGCCTTCGGCTCAGGCATGAGTCCAGGGTCCTGGGATCAAGCCCCATGTTAGCAGGGAGCTTGCTACTTCCTCTCCCTCAGCCCCTCTCCCTGACCTGTGTTCTCTCTCACTCACACTGCTCCCTTTCTCTCATATAAATTAATCTCCAAAAAAGAAAAGAACTCAGTAAACATTTGCTGTTACTATGAAATGTATTTTTATAATCAATACTTCAGCATATAAAATAGTAAACTAACAAAATGATGTAAGCAGTAAAAATATGATTAAAAAACAACAAAAAAATCTACCTAGGAATAAACCTAACAAGAAATGTACTGAGCATATATGAATAAATTTTATAAGATATGAATAAATGGAGAGACCAGAGTGTGGATGAGAAGACTGAACACTGTAAAGATGTTCATTGTCCATGTCAGTCACTTCTTCACAGCACTAACTAGGAGCTCCACGTGACCCAGGATGGCAGGACCCTATGGCAATTCCCCAAAACTCACCCACACACCAGCCCCCCAGCAGGTGAGCTGACACTTCCCACTGTGGACCTGCCCTGCTCCCCAGGAGTCCTTCTGTCATAGCACTTGGCTGTCCACATTGCTTCCTTCAGTTTTCTTTGCCATTGGACCGTGAACCCACAAGATCAAACTGAGTCTTTAGTACCTCAGGACCCAGATAGCAGACTTACGCTAGACACTGGCAAAGGCCAGTGGAGTAAGCAAACAAACCACCCCATGATAACGGGGATAAGGTGCCCAGGAAGGAACTGCAGACACACGTACTTTGGGTTTCGCGATCTCCTTAATCCTCTCGATTTCCTCGTCAGACATGACATCGTAGTACCTGACGATGTGTGGACTGTCCCACTCATCCTCCTCTTTGAAGGGGGCGATGAGGAGCTGTGGTGTCCTGTTGCCATGGTGGTACCTACAGAAAAGCCTCTTCTGCCTCCGGGGAGTCTGGAGAGCAACAAAGCAACAGGCTCTGGGCATAATGAGTTCTAATCCTCAGCCCCAGACTGGCTGGCTGCAGACGTGTCTCATACCCTGTGTCCAGCAGCTGCTCCCTCCTGCCCCACCACAGAAGAAACAAAAGTCCCACAGCTTGACTGAGAGAAATGATACCCCCACAAATCATGCAATGTTTCCTCTCTTGCAAAAATTCCTCATGTCTATAGGTCCTGCGGCACAAGGTTAATCCCTGAGCCTTCTCACAGAGATATGAGTAAGTCAGAAGGACTGAGGCAGGGGAGAGGCCATTCTAGGTGAAAAAACCAGTGGGAGGCATGAAGATATAGACATGGACAAGGCCCAGAGACTGCCTCATACCTGAGCCTACTGAGGAAGCACTGGGATCCCAGGGCCCTCAAAAATCAGTGACACTGGAGGCTGAGCTGTTAGCTATGGCCACGTCTTCACTACAGAGACCACAGCTTCCCATGCGGCACATCCACACCCATGGTTTTCCTCACAGTGTGAGTCAAGCAGAAGCTGGGCATGCTGGGGTAGGGAAGGGAGCTGAGCAATAACTGAGAGGATTCAAACTCTGCCAGGGACATTGGGGGAGACAGTCTCCTGTCCTATACCTCAGAGAACACCCACCCATCAGCCTCAGCAGATGCTACAAAGAATTGGGCAAGATACTGAGGAAACAGCCTACACACAGAGGAACATCATTCCCAAATCTCCCCATCCAGAGCCAAAGTCTAGGTCCACATGTGGGACCTAGCCATGCATCTCACCAGTTTGACACCCTCCCCACGACAGAGGCTCTCATAGATGTCCCTCTCAGGCAGGTAGTCCACAGGCCTCTCATAGATGCTTTCCTGCGTGGCTAGCCCAGCTTCTGTCTGATTCAATAACATTTTTTCTCTTTCTTCCTCCAACAACCGTTCAAAGTACCGCAGATTTCCTCCAGCTCGTTCGTGGCTCGGGTCTAGAAAGAGCAAAGAACAAGAAGGAAAAGGAAACCACAAACATCTGTTAGGTCATTTAGAGAAATTATTCTGTAAGCAGTTTTCTCTCCCAGCAGCTCATCTGCACGCAGCATTCTGCTTTCCACAGCATCTTACCAGGGCTCGCTGGTCAGAGCAGAAAAGCCAACATGGACTCTCCGGCTTGGCCAGAGATGGGAAAGGAGACACCAAGGAGGCCACCTAGCTAGCCACATAGGGGGCTCTCCTCTCAGGCCGCCCTGGAGGGCCCAACAGCACAGGTCTAGAGAAGCAGTCCAAACTCCTGCCACCTCCTCCCAACTTGGCTGTGAGTCACTTACATCCGTCTCCTAGAGTACATCCATTACTGGTGACCAGATCACATGCTGGCCACAGTGAGAAGGCAGGCTGAAATCCTGGCAAAAAGAACAGCCACATGACAATGCCATAGCCTCATCTTGTGGGCCTCACAACACAAAGGAGCAAGCTTGGCAGGATTACTGTGTCACTCCATAGGTGAGGAAACCAAGGCCCAAAGATACTAACAGATTTAGGCAAAGGTTAGACCGAACAGGAAACCAGGTATCCTGACTCCCAGGCCAAGGCTCTTACTAATATGATAGCATCTACAAAGCTCTCTTCCCCCACATCAGTCTTGCAGAACACTCATATGGTTGCTGGCATCAGACTCAAGGCCCATGAAAAGCAGCAGCAAAAGAAGTCTTTGCTGATCTGTGGAATTCCAGATTATGATTATCCCATCTATCAGTAAAAGGTAGAAGATACAGGATTTAAAAACACAGTGCTTTTAACTTCCTTCAGTCCAACACTTCAAGACACTTATACCACCAATGCCATAGCAAGTCCCACCAGTAAGACCTCGGACCCTGAATGAACGGGTCAGGCCACAATCACTGCAGCAATTGCGAAGTATGGCTTGCCTCCCCAGCCACTCCTGACCACGTGAAGGCTCACCCTGCAGAGCAGCCGTTGCACTGCACCATGGGATTCCTATTTTCAAAGGGACTGTAGAGAGCCACGGGTCTGACTATATCCATAAGCAACCAGGCAAGGGCTAAGGCCAGAAATGAGGTGGGTAAAGAGCTAACCAGCAGCCAGAATGAGCCTGAAAGCAGTACGGCTCGGGTCACTGGCCAGGCAACATGTCAAAGTGGCTCAGTCTCAGGAGAGTGGTCAGGTAGTGGCTGGTGGAGGAACCAGTTCTCCTGCCAGCACCCCCTCAGCTCTGACCTTCCCCTAGAACTTCCTCACCAAGAGAAAGCAGGCGGCGGGTGAGCTCCAGGGCACGGTGCAGGTCACCCAGCTGGAAGACAGCATAGCTCAGGTAGTCCAGCACATCGGCCTTGGCTGTGGTGGCCTCCTCGCCAGCATCGAGCTGCTTCAGCACCTGTTCCATCCACAGGACTGTGTGGTAATAGTCGCCTTCATTGTAGGCCGAGCGGCCCATCCCAAAGCAGTCATCCACACTCAGCATGGCCTGGTACTTGGTTCCTGCAGCAGGAAATGCAAACAGTCAGGCTCTAAAGAGCCGCTGGGCTGGGGAGAGAGATTCCCACAAGGAAGCCTGGGCCAGTGGAAGGGGGGCATCATCCCAGCAGAGTCCCACCCAGACTTCTAAGTAAGCACAAGCAGGCTGGGCCTGCCTGGGACCAGGATTCACAGCCAATCTCCTGGCCACAGACTCCTGTTCTGCCATGTGGGAAGGGGCCTCTGTTGTGAAGAAGCCCAAGAAGCAGTATTCAGGAGAGTATGATGGTCCTGTGAGCCACAGAGGAGATATCTACTGGGCAGCTCGCCTTATGAGTCTGGAAGGTAGAAAAATTAGTTAATATAAAAAACAGAACTTCGATGGCAGCTTCGAGCAAGACTTCCACTTCCAGCAAGACTGTAAGAAGAGAGTAGAGAAAGTGGCTAAGGCCAGAACCCTACAGAGAAAGGACAATGAATGACACTGAGCAGGACTGGAGAGGTAGTAGGAACAGAGCAGGAGCAATGGGACAGATGCCAAGGGAGGTCAGAGCCAAGACTGCAGCACCAGCTTTGACCGTTAGGTGGCGGGGAACTTGGTGAGCATCAGCACTGCAGGTCCTGAGACCACAGGTTGTTTGCTACAGGCTCCATACTGGAAAGTGACTGTGAAAATAGTCTCAGGTCAAGAAGGATGAGATACAGTATGCTAACTATGGGAAAATGTAGGATGTAGGGTAGGGGTAAGGTGGGAGGGACATGAGTATACTTCTCAGGGAACAATGAAAAAGCAGGCCCCATGCAGAAGAAGGAAGGGCTGTGACCCTCCCTGGAAGGCAGGGGAGTCTCTGTTAACCCCATTAACAGACCTACACATGGGTGACATGTAAGAGCTGCCTTAGAGGAGCTTCTTTCTGCCTAATGTCCAAGGTGGGGCTCTGTCCACAATGAAACCCCTACTGCAATGGGTTGGCTACTTCAAAGACAGAGGTCTGCTCACCATGATGCCTCAGCATTAGGCAATGTGGGATAGGAAGATGAAGAGAGTAAACACGAGATGGAGTTAGTAGACGGGCTAGTGATCAAGGGGTTCCTTGAGCCCCTGGTCATTATCCTTGGGCCTCTACAGATCTCCTTTAGCTATGCAGTTTTCCGGAACACACAATGAGGCACAATATAACACAGCAGCTGAGCCAGCTGCACAAAGCTGGCTCCGTGTGGGCCTCGCTAGGGATCCCACCAGCTGTGTCACAATGGATAAATTACTGAGCCTCTCTAACTCTCAGTCCCCTTAGGTCTAGAGTTAATACCATCAATTTTAGAGAACTGGTGGCAAGAAGTCAATGAGATGACACATAAAGATGTCTTCTATGATCTCCAGGATGCTAATAATCAGTAGCTATAATCCACATATCCTACAGAGGCCAAGAAGGTAAAGAACAGCTCCCAGAAAAAAAAAAAAAAAAAAAGGAAGAAGAGCTCCCAGATATTCAGCATCCTCCCCAGAAGCCCATCAAAAGTCTATGCCTTTGGAGAGCACTCCCTAGAGAGTGCTCTTTATTCAGAGAACTGAATGCCAAAGGGCAATCAGACATGAGATCTAGCTGATCGGGTAGGATAGGCAAGGAAGCTAGGTGGTGGGTAGTTTAGTACAAACTTAATATAGATAGGCAAGTAGGCCCAGGAAAGAGGACCATACAAGACCTCAAAAACCACACACAGGAGGAATTTGGGTTTAGCACTTAAAGTTAAGCTTTGTGATCAGGAACTGATATAAACAGAGATGCACTTAAGACCACATGGAGAATGATTTTAAGGAGTGAACTAGAGATAGAAGAAAAGTCAGAAAGTTATTTCAATAATCCAGTTGAGAAATATGTGATGAGGCTGGAGTCAGGGCCTCCAAGTAAAGACGACACAAGAGAGGCAGAATCCATGGGCCTTAGGATTCTGACTTGGGCTGCCAGTGGCCAGAGCTGCTGTTTGCTCAGGCAAGGAGCAAGAGAGGAAGGTAAACATTTCACAAGGCAATGAGGACTTCTCTTTGGAACACGTGACTTTGGAGGAGCACAGAGAACACCCAAGTGGAGATACCCCAAAGGCATTTGTCTTCAGTAGCTGGAATCTTTGGTGATAAGCCTTGATAGGAAACACAGAAGTGAACATCATCTATGTACATTTGATGGAAATGGCTGGGCTCACCTGCAGAAGGTGCTCAGGGAAAACTCTACCTAAGGAAATCCACCTTCCCTGCCCCTCTAGAACAAGCAAAGATCTGTTAAATGAATGTGCAAGGTCAATGCTTGGGTGTGGCTCTCTCCTTCTACCAACCATTCTCATAGCTACGCTGGAACACATCTTGCAGGTGCCCTAAGGGACCTTCTCTCACTGGCTTCGTGGCCTGGCTTGATCTAAGATTTGACAGAGTCAGGAATAAGAAGTCTACACTCCATCACATTGGTTCACCAGACTCCTCAGTGCTACAACTCTGGACCTTAACCAGCCGCCAGCAGAGTGTCTCTTTGTCCTACATACTGTGATTCCCTGGGCTTGTGCCTCTTCCCGGGTCCTCAAGGGTGAGTGACATCCAAAGTATAATGGGGTCTAACTGAACCCCATGTTTTATTGGCCTCTAACAGTCCCCCAAACCAAATATACCTTCTTCTAATCATACTGAGGTAATCAGGAGAAAGGGGCATGTTTTTGAAAAAAAAGAGAGAGAGAGAGAGCAGAAAGCCAAAAAGAGAAGCAGTAGAGATCAGTACCCTAGAATTCAGGGAGTATCAGGAAGACTGAGACAATCAACGTGCCAAACACTGCTGAAAAATTAAAGGACATTCTGCCTGAAACTCAGCCACTGGCTTTAGCAGCTGAGTGGCCACTAGAGACCTGGCAGGGACAGGATCAGTGGATGCTGAGCAAAGAGGCCAGACTGCGTGTTCAGGAGGACCTGGGAAGCAAAGAAACACAGAGCATGTGGATGACTGTCCAGCAGCCTAGCCAGGTTAGGCTAACCAACAGATCCATCAGCACCAGAGACTCAAAAGGCCTTGGATCCTGAGGGAGGGGTTTGTAAGATTAGTAAGAACCCACAGTGTGTGAGCTCAAGGGGAAGAGCCAAGTGGGGTGGGCCAAGAAGGAACAAGGCAGAGACTGTAACTGAGGACACACAGGACACCGGACAGTGAGTCCAGAGATCAGTCTTTGTCAAAAAGAAATCAGAGGGTGTGGGGACAGAAGCAGGTCTGGAAGAAGATTTGAGCAGTGTTCAGAGGGCAGAGGCCGAGGGGTTCTGAGCAGCAGCCTTGGCTCTCTCTGAGTGGAGAGAAGAAAAGAGAGAGGAGAGGGAGAGAAGGGGAGGAGCTGAGGGGAGGTGGCTGCCATGGGAATGGGAGGGGACTGGCACCAACTGGAAACCCAAGAGAGCATCACCACCAGCAGCTGATGGTGTGCTTGAGGGTAAAGACCACAAGATGGTGGTGGCTCCAACTCTGTCCAGAGGCCACAGTAGACACACACCCAGTGCATGGGCAAAGCCTAGAGTGGTAAGGTACCTGGAAGTTGTCCTTTGGAAATCGTGTCTGGGTCCAGCTTGTACGTGTCCTGAAGTCTCATCAGGGCCTTGGCAGCTCCCATTTCATCCTCATCAGTAGGGAAGAACTGCCGCTGCACAGAGAGGTTGGCAATAAAACCTTCCAAATGAGAGTGAGAACAAGAGGTTACCTTTGATCCAGGGGCGCAATTCCACCTGGGACCAGAAAGGTACCCAGTGGAGGGTTTCTGGCTAGTGCAATCTCCCTGCCCCCTCCCTCAAAGGCGGTTCCCCCTTCCTCCAGGAAGCCCTCCCTGATGGCTCCAGTCCATGAAGATCTCTCTTTTCTTCCTCCTCACTGTACGGACTGCCTGTACTGCTCATTTGGAATTGAACAAAGATGGCCCACAAACCGGTTAACATGTGGGAGTCTGAGAGTCTTGGCTCCAAAGCACTCAGTCAAATCTGGTGGAGACAGAAGGGACAGAGGACAGAAACAGTAATTGAGAAGGACACAGGAGAAGACTCACGGAGGACCTATTGATCACTTAATGGAAAATGAATCACATGGAAAACCTCGATCCAGGATCACTGGGGGGACCAGATAAACAGACCTCCAGCCCACATTCCAGGTCAAGGAGTCTAAGGAACAGAGGTAGTCAACTCAGGGAACCTAGCTAGCCACTGATTACTGACTATTGGCCCTTATCATCTAGAAAAGTGATGATGACAGTCTTGGAGGGATTTAGTGCTGTCTCCATCCTTCAGATTAGGGACTGGGGGACCATCTGGCCAGAACAAGCATTGAGGTGGGCCTGCCCAAGCCCAGTGGAGTACACTGAGAGACCACACTGGCTCTTCCTATTGCTCTCTCGAGGACTCCCACAACTCAGACCTGCCATGAACTCAAAGGCATGAGCTCCCCGGATATAGTGCACAAGGCCACAGTTTGGAACTTAGGCCAGCCCCTGCCAGAGACGTGCCCAAGGACGCTGTTCTGGGACTCCAAGCCCTAGCTCTTAAACAGGATATGCACCTTTTGTATCTCAGGACTCCAGGTGGAGGCCAGGCCTTCCCAAACTGATTCAGGAGTTTCAATGCTACCTATGAGCTAAGAATTGGGAGGGGAACCCCAAGGTCCTTTCTTCCCTGGCCTCTTCCTCAGGGCAGCAGTACCCACGGTCACCTACTCTCAGGACCTCAGGTTCAAACACCCACTTCTAACCATGCCTGGGGACCCAGGGATCAAGAAGTTGTAATCCTGCCTTTCTTGGTGGCTGCCCAATCAGGGATTCTAAGAGTCTGGAATTCAGGAAAAAGAAAACATGCCCCCAGAAAAAGCCACACCGTCAGCACATCCCCCTCATTTCAGAGGCAAGAACTCTCAAGTCAGAGGTGAAAACAACCTATTGCTCTCAGGGCCTGTCCTGTCTGCCTTCTGGTAATTATAAGGTTTTCTACAAGAACCAGATGTTGACGGTGGGGGCGGGGTGTGGAGAGCAAGACTAGGGAGCGGAAGGTCATCCAGGCAGGCTTATTCTACCCGTTGGGCCGTGGAGTGCCGGCAGAACAGCCAGTTCTGAGCTACAGCCCCAGGATGGAAGACAGGGGCTGGGAAAGGCAGCCACCGCTTCTGGAGGCAGTGAGCTCACTGGGCACAGCTCCAGCCGGGCTCAACTCACCAACCCCTCCCCAGAGGCCACCCTGCCCCCAGCCAAGCCCAGCCCAGTCTGGCCTCATGGACTGAACTGCTCAGCCAGAGACAACCAGTCTGAAGTTAATCAGCACTCCCGACTGTGGGAGCAGAGGCACTCAGTCCAGGAGGCTGAGCCCAGGGCTGGCTGGAGTCAGGAGGGCCAACTTCCACGCCTGCCCCACCACCTCCTGCTGAGAGGAAAATGTTAGAGCATAAAAAATACCAGCAGAGTAAAAGATACCAAGCACGGTCAAAGCTTTAAAGCTTTAAAAAGTTCATACTTTGACCTAAATACCACTTCTAAGAATTTAAACTAAGAAAATAATCAGAGAGGGCGTCTGGGTGGCTCAGTCAATTAAGCATTGGCCTTCCACTCAGATCATGATCCCGGGGTCCTGGGATCCAGTTGGCAGCCTGCTTCTGCCCTCTCCCTCTGCCCTCCCCACCCCTCATTGTTCATTCAGTCACTCTCTTTCTCTCTCTCTCAAATAAATAAAATCTTAAAAAAATAATAATAAACTTCAAAAAGAATTTAATAAAAGAAAATAATCAGAGGTAGGCACAAAGATGTATATGCACAATTGCTGATAATTTGGAAACAATCCCACATCCACTAACTTGACCAATTTCACACTATATCAGTTTGAGTTATTACTATGTAGCCATTAAAACCATGCCCTATAACATATAATAGACATTTAAAGAAGCTGGAAAATTCAGGAAATCACTGTATGCTTATGGCACAAATCTGCCTACAGATATGTTTTATTTCTAAAAGGTATGAATGGGAATGAAGTTAGATGAGGCCCATAATCCCCAGCTTATGCTGGCCCCATCACCCAGCCCACTTGACTCACTTTTGTTTTTTCGTTTCGTCCCGCAAAGCAAGTGAGTTTGCACTCCCTGGACTATATGAATGGGTCCATTTCTTCTTTTAATGTAAATGCGAGTTTAGGAAGACAGGAATTTTAATAGTGCTTATCACGAGACAACTGGGTTAAGAACTCTAATTTACTTACATCATTTTATTTCCTAACTTTTCTACAAAAACACACAAGTAAAGCACGTTTTAAAAAAGTATTTAAAAAGTATAAAAAAAAGGGGGGGGGAATGAACACACTAGGACAAGGCAAGAACTGATTATTGCTACATAATAAAAACAAGGACAGCCAACTGCTAGGGGCCCACAGAAAAGGGAGATGGCCACAGGCCTGGCAGGGTGCATTATCGACACACCGCACATGCCCACCAACAATGGCAGAGCCAGGACAGGCTCAGACGGACACTCCCCATACACGGGCACACAGACCACTGGCCCCCAAAGCACCTGCTCACCATTCCTCACCTGCAGCCGAGTCCTGAAGGACAAGGTCCTCCAGTGCAGGCCAGTCTGTGTTCAGTCGCTTCACCAGTTTATAGGCATTCACGGGGTGGGCCAGGTAACCTTCAGGGTCAGCAGCTGACTTGCTGGTCAAGGCTTCCATTTTGTTGGCCCAGCTGTGGAAAGAGAGGAAAAGGAAGACTTAACATGCCCACTCACACAGGTCTTGACCTATGGTAATTTCCCTGGTGAAACCCCTTTTTCTATGGAGAGGCAATATAAAATGAATACAGCAACTTCCCACTGACATTTGTAGCCCCTTAATCTAGAGAAGAGGTGGGAATCCTCATGTATGCAAAAAGGCTCTTAAATAGGGAAGGGAAAAGCAGGGAGTCCTTAGCCGGTACACTGAGCCATTCTGGAGAACTGGCATGAAGTAACCTCCAGGCCAGCCCCTCATGGCTCTCTCAAGCGCTTCCTCTTATGAGCACCCTGGATGGGTTCTGGGGCAGGGGGTGCTTAGGACATCAGATACCTCTTAATCTTGGAGAGCTTGGCTTCCTCCACAAGGATATACTGCTTCAGAGACTGCACCAGGTCCTTCTCTGCATAAATTAAGTCAGTCATATGCCCTGCAAGGAAAGAGAAAAGGGCCAGTAAGAAACAGATCAGGGACATCCATCCCCCTTCCCGAGGCACAGAACACCAGCACAGAGGCAAGTCCTCTGGATCACTAGCATAGCAACTCTCTTGGGATCAAAGGGACTTGGGAGTTAAAGGGGGGCAAGGCACTCACATGGTCTTGGCCCCCAGCTTCAGTAATACAGGGGTGGAGGCTCCCAGGGGAGGGTTAGATGAGCACACTGGGAGAGCCTTAAGGAAGAAGCCCCAAATCTCATTCTCCTACCAGCACCTGGCTTGGTCATGTCACCAGGGCCTGGACATCCTAAGGGCTTCTTTGCTCAGAACCACTCTCTGGCCTGGACAAAGACAGTCAGAAGGCCAGGGAGCCCAGGAGCCGCCTGTGCTTCTCAGGGAGGAGAGGAGTTGAGACAGCTGGCTCCCAGCAAGGACATTCAGGTCATCAGGGCCTCAGAAGGGGAAACGGCAGCTCCACAAACCCTACTTTCCCCAGAACTTGTCAAAACCAGTGGGTGAGCCATCCCACCTTGAGTGAGAACGGGCTTCAGGTGGTGACATTCCCTGGCACTTGAGCCAAGGATGGCTCAAGAAGATAGTCTTGTTGGCACATACCAATAGAAGTGAAGAATTCAGCCTGCACACAGCCCAGGACACCAAACCAGGCCACCAGCAATGTGGGCACCCAGCCTTTCATGGTCACAGAGAGCAGTGTCTGAAAGGCATTCAGTGACAGCCACTGGATCAACAGGTGAAAAAAGCAATGTAGGTGAAGACATACATATACATGTGCACATAGATACACCAAACGTGCTAAAATCCTGACCTAGGACACAGAAACTAAGGATATTCTGCACCAGCAGTGGAAAGAGGCCCGGGTGTGCAACCAGTGATGTGTGCTCAATTCTGGCCCCTGCTCTGGGAGGCCATGTCCCCTTGGGAGAGCCCCTGTGCACCCGATTCCCGGTAACTGCCAGCAACATGGAAAGGCTGAATGGTGTGGGAGTCAGTCCCCTCTGCTTCCAATATTAGTCCAAGATTCTAGCCCACCCCTTCTCATTTCACAGATTGCTTGTCTTATTTCGGTCTTTCTTTCCAACCCATGTGTCAGGACAGTGCCAGGTCCCCTGCTGGGGACCCACAGGTAACATGCAGCTTCTGCATGTGAGGAGACTGAAAGGACAGGAGAAACAATGACGGAAAGAGAATGTGCCACAATAGGCTCCAGAGGACCCACACCCAAAATGAGGTGTATAGCAGAGGGCTGGCCAGAGGGGAATAAAACCGCCCCCTGCCAGTCTGCACCCGGCCACAGAAAAGGCAGCGTGGGGAGCAGGCACTCTGGGCAGACACTACTCTTCCTGTCTGCCACCTCACCAGACACCATCCTCGCTAGCAAGTCACCACTCACAAATATCTGCTGAAGATCCACATAGGCTATTTACCGAGTTAGGCATCTGGGATATAAAAAGCAATCAGCCATGCAAGGCCAAAACCCTGGGATGGGATGGACTGCTGACATGGATTCAAGACCGGCTTCTGGTTTCTCGTTAGCCTAGAAATAGCCAGATTCAGCTGTGAGGGCACAACCTGGGGCAAGCTCCACTGGCAGGGGACCTGAGTACATAATAGAAGCTTTGAACATGGTCTCCCAGCTCAGCCAAGCAACCCAGCACACACCTGAGCCCCACCTCTACCAGTCCCTTCTCTTCCTGCTCAATGTCAGCCAAGCCCCATGGAAATATACTAAGAGAAAACAGGGGAAAATGAAGAAAATACAAATGCTTTTCCCCAAAATGGAAGCCTTACCTGACAGAATTCCAAGTCTGAGCTAATGCCAGTTCATTTTTTGCCTGCTCTGGTTAAGAGACACACAGTCATGCCGACCACTTCTCGCCTTGGAAGAAATTCCAACCCACTGTGGTTCCAGGTTAGGCTCAGCCCAACCACAAGGCCCAACCCCAAACGGGTTCCTCTATCAGAAAGAGGAGAGGATGAATGAATGGCTGCATTTGTTCATGTCCCTGCCAGATGTCTGCAGAGCCATGAGCATGGCCCGTCAGTGGCCTAGGTGTTGGGGGCCGAGATGCACAGAGCCACGTCTTTTGGGCCAGAACCTGCTGCAGGGCACAGAATATCAGGCTAAGCAATGGATTATACAGTTAGGGCAACAGAGAAAAGCAAGTCACTGAGAGAAGGTGAGCAGGCCATCAGCCCCGAGGTGGAGTGCAGGTCCTCCGTGTTCCAGCCACAGGTCTGCTTCCAGGTTTCACATCCTCTGTATCTCCAGCCCAGGATTCCTGAAAGCCTCTCGTTGTGCTTACAGAAGCCCCTTTACAGGAGTACTATATGTTATATACTAGAGTACTATATGTTCCTTTTACCTCAAGAGGCTTAACTAACTCAGGAAAGCACCTTCTATAGGTAAACAGAAGGAATGGTAAAGGGTGCCTGGGTGGCTCAGTTGTTAAGCATCTGCCTTCGGCTCAGGTCAAGATCCCAGGGTTCTTGGATTGAGTCCCACATCGGGCTCCCTTCTCAGCAGGAAGCCTGCTTCTCCCTCTCCCACTCCCCCTGCTTGTGTTCCCTTTCTTGCTCTATCAAATAAATAAATAAATTTTTTTTTAAGATTTTATTTATTTATTTGACAGAGAGAAATCACAAGTAGGCAGAGAGGCAGGCAGAGAGAGAGGAGGAAGCAGGCTCCCTGCTGAGCAGAAAGCCCGATGTGGGGCTTGAACCCAGGACCTGGGATCATGACCTGAGCCGAAGGTAGCGGCTTAACCCACTGAGCCACCCAGGCGCCCCTAAATAAATGAAATATTTTAAAAAATACAAATTAAAAAAAATTTTTTTTAAAAGAAGGAACAGTAAAGTCCAGGGCCAAGAGGTTGGATCTGTGGACATGAGGGACCAGCCAACTGCCTGTCTGGGATGGTAGGAGAGCAGGGCCCCGGAAGGAGACCAGACAGACACAGTTGGAAGGAGGGGAGCCCAGCATTTCTCCCCTGCTGTGTCTCCAGCTGCAGTGGCATACCTCTTCAGAGATGGGGTGACAAGTTCAAGGGAGGGAGACATCTTTGTGTTCCTCTCAAATCCTCCTGGTGATAATGTCCAGGGTTCATGCCGTACAGCACTCAGGGAAAAGCAGCCAGGTTCCTTCATTACATGAATACCAGCTGTCATTTCTCTGGAATGTACTCTCTGGCTTAGACTAAGCCCATCCATGAATACAGCCCAGAGGCAGAGCCCCCAAAGAATCACAGATGGGGTTTTGGAAAATGGCTTGCCAAGAGCCTGTGAAGTCCTGCTCTGATGGAGGAGGGGAAGATTACTCCAATGGTCAGAGAGCAAGGTACCCCCAAGCAGCCCCTAGACTTGTCGCCTCAGGCAGGGATGCCCTAGAGTCCCAGCATTTCCCTCGTCCTGACCCTGAATGCTACAGGCTTTGTATGAAAAGTTTTCTAATTAGGGCCAGGATGGGAAGAGGTAGCATCCAAGAGCAACTGTCCCACAGTGTGGGAAAGGCCAAGCCCCTACTTGCCTTGGCCCCAATCCTATCTCATACCTTGCTTGGGACAGAGTAGGTGGGAATGTGTATGCATGCCCGGTACCCCTCCCCTACCCCAAGTGTCCAGTGCTGCCAAAAGCCCTTCCAGGAACCCTCATAAATCCATGCTGAATAGACCTGGAAATAGGCAACATCAAACCTCTTTTTATGAAAAACAAAACACAAAGTGGCATCAAGCCTAAGAAGAAAACCAATATTGAATTTTATCTGCTCTGCATCTCAAGTTTAGAACAATGTCTGACCCATATCAGGCATCCAACAAATAAGGCTTCACCACAGACTTGTTCAAGTTAGAAACAACAACAGAAAATGTTACATTTTTTTCCACATAATGGACTGTTATGCATTGTTAAGAATGGACACTGTATGCATAGTAAGTCCCAAGTTTGGACACCCACAGGGAGGTTCTCCAAAGACCACCAACACCCCAGTGACAATGATTCACTCACCAGGTGACCAGCACTGTTTCTAAGCACAGACAAATTCCAAGACATACAATCAGAGGCCCCAACAAGCCTGCTCTTTGGAAAGGACATTTACAATCTGGCCAAATGGCCATGAAAAGAGGTTTCCAGCTGCAAACCAGCAGCGTCCTTAGCTTCTCCCCTTACCTCATCAGGCACGAACCTCTGCCAAGCTCCCAGCTGCAACCCAAATGCAACAGCTTGAATTTTAACAATGTATTTAACAGCCTAGAGACTGAACATGGATTTGCAGAGTACAACCAGGTCTTGCCTGGCACTAATCAAGAAGCCGCCTGCCTTCTGTGAAGGAGCAAAAACCTGTCTGAAAAGGGCGCCCCCCAGTGGCCCTGATTCCCAGTGGTGTGGCCAACTCTGGAACACCAAAGCCATGAGGACCTGTGAGTTGTGGAGAGAAGGTCCCAGAACTTAGGCACATGGAGGTCCATTCAGGCCCAGAAGCTGGGCCCCGGGAAGGACGGAAGGCACCCTACTCTCCTTACCTGACATCAGGCCTCAATCATCAACCTGCTCTGAGCCACCCCCAATTCCTTCCAACAGCAATTCTGGCCCCTTCTCCTACCGGTCTCTCCTCTCATCTGGCGTCCCCACGGCCAACCTCTGCTCTACAAAGCAGCCAGCATGGCTACCGCAGCTCCTCATTTGGTCTCTCTCTCCACTGTCCTCGGGATCAAGTCCAAACTCCTTAGCTCCAGGGCCTTTTTGACTCTGCATGACATGGCCTGATGGCCCTCCCCAGCCCCATCTCATGACTCTAGGTTTCCAGCTTCGGATACTACCTCACATGGAAAAATATTCTTCACTGAGGGCTTTCTTCACTGAAACCTCAATGTTCACCTGCATCCATCCTTATACTTCTCTATCAGGTATACGAACATGTTGATTTGTACCTCCCATTGGGTACCATCAAAACCACAGCGTCTCCTGCTTCCATAGCTAAGCAATGAAGGAGCAGAGAAGCCTGTAAAAATCAACATGCAAAGTCCAAACTGGACTTTCAGTCAGGGGCTTGGCAGAGGCTTGGCAATCTAAGTGTGACTAACTCTTAAGAAGGGACTACAAATGAGAACACAATCCACAAAGCAATATATAGGATGCCTCCGATGTCCCACTTCACAGCCTCTTGGCCTCACCAGTCTCCCGGGCCCTGGGTCTCTTGCCAGGCCTCAGAGTCAGTGGGGAAGTGTGTGCAGGTCCCCGATCTCTGGCTCTTCCTGTACTTCCAAACTCCACAGAAATACTGTACTGGCCTCCTCTGTGGCTGCTGGGGAACTCGGGTAATGCAACCAAGGAGCAAGAGGGAGCTAACTCCCATGAAGCAACTGAGCAATGAAGACAGAAGACAGGAGGAGGTCAGCAGATAAATTCCCTCACGAGGCCTCCGCTGACAAACTGTTCTGCAGGCATGGAGTTTCTGCAGAGCTCCCCCAGAGATATCCTGCATGGCAGCTACTGGCCAGCTGACTAAAGCACCACCCTGTGCCTTCCAGCCTTCTCTCTCTCAGGTTTCTTTTCCCTTACCCTTGCTGCTCTACACCTTCCAATAAGGCATGAAGCACTGCCTCAGGCTCTGCTTTTTGGGAACCACAATTTGTATCTCCAAAAATCTCTCATTTCTACAATCTAATCCTCATGAAAACATGTAAACTAGACAATCATCTCCATTTCAGATACAGAAGCTAGAAAAGTGAGGCTGAGCAAGAGTTTCCCGCATACCTAACCTGCTACCACACATCAGGGGCAGAGCTGAGACTCAAACCCAGAGCACACTTTCCATCAGATACTGCAACCACTCAGTCCCACTCAGTAACATCTACTGCCTTACAGCCCGAGGGTCTCCCGCAAGGAGGAGGCACTCTGACCTAGCAGAGCAGGCCTGCCCAGGTGAAGGACTTTATCAAGGTTCACCAAACAGCGGCATGACATTCCGGGCTGGATTCCACCAAAAGGTGGACAGCACCATGGGGCCTCAAGTTCAGGTGAGCAGTCACTCCCACCTCAGACATCATGGCACTCAGCAATGACCACCCAGCTCCAGGCAAGGCAGCACCGTCTAGTCAGGAGTCAGACAACCCCAACTTCAATCTCAACTCCACTATCACTACCTGGCTTTGTGACTTCACATGAGTTCCAGATCTCTCTGAACCTGTTTCCCATCTATATCATGGTGATGAGGACCTGTATCTCACAGGGTTGTTGCGAAGACTGAAGGAGATGGCGATTATCAGTGGGCAGCCTACCATCCTGCACAGCGTATACCAGACATCAGCATCCATGGTATTGGAAGAACATCAGTAGACCTTAAGACGCCAGCTGCCGGGCTAACGCCTGGCAAAGAAGAAGAGTCCAGTCTAAGGGACAGACAAGATGAAAACAAAGCAGATACCAGGCAATCTCCACATCCCACAAGGGCCAAAAGAAATGAAACATACTTGAGAGAGCAGAATCAGAAATAATGTAGCACACTGACCATCAGGGAATAACCCTGGAACAGGTCAAACAGTAGCTCATCAAGGAAAGAAAGCTCTCTGGCAAAAGGCATGGGACTGGACTAATACTCTCAGATATCTTATATTTCCTTACCTCTGACCTACTGGTTCTGAGCTCCTACAAGTACCAAGTCTCAGGATTGTGGCCACACAATGGTCCTTGGGAGTACCAGGTACAGAGCGGGCAATACTCTAGCAAGCACTTCCTGAAAGGTCTAGAACACGTACTGGTCTGTGAACAGGCTCAGACTGATCCAATCTGAGTGGAGAACTCACTACCCAAATAGTTAATCCTCTGCCTGGCAATGACACCACTTGAACAAAAACTCTCTTCTGGGGTCCAAGAAGTCTAGTCCATACTTTTCATTCTCCTCCACCCCTTCTGAGAATAAAAACCATATCCTTCAGTCCACATCCCCAGCAAAAACCCCAGAGACCACAGGAGCCACCAGCCCTTTCACTCTAAAACAGGCTGATGTTCCACTTTGGGGCACATCCAAACTGCTAGATTCAAGCAATCTCGGTTTAACTCTCGCTCTAGCATTCTGTCTAGGCTTGCACGTGCCTGCATCAGAGCATTTCCTGCCAATGACCATCTGCATAAAATTAAATTCTTGACAGATCCCAAGAGCCAGGGACACACCCACCAGCCCAATGTACACTATCAGCCAGCGTGGCCACAAATCGGCCAAGGTCTTGCATCCAGCCTCAGAACCTCCCATGGACGTGGGAGGGCAGAGTAAAAAGTCAGGCTCTGTCAGGAAATGAGTACAACCCAGATTCCCTCACCCAAGTCATTCCACAGGGCTGCACCCACACCATCTCTTTCTGAGGAGTAGTCACACTCTGAGCTTCTCCTCTGCCACACGGCCAGCTGCCAGGCTGAAGCAGCAATCTCGGGGAGATTATGAGCTACCTACGGGCAAGGAGGGTGTCACCACCCCCTCCTTCCCCTCTTCCTCTCCCTCCTAATTCCACCCTGAGGCACACTCCAAGCAGAAGGCAGGCACTGGGGAGGTACTCAGGGAATGAACAGAGATCAGCTATGCACAGGCTATAGCAGTGGCTAAGTAAGCACTCTCCCAGGCACCCTGTTTCAGAGCCTCCTTCCTCCTCCCTCCTTCTAGGTAAAAGTGCCTATCACAAGTCCCAGGCAATGCCTAGTTGTCATCATGTCTGACTGCTGAGCTCTCAGAGAATGAGGGTGGCCCAACATGACAGCCTCTCTGGGATGAGGCCCCCAGCCAACCCACTCCATCCTTGCTACGTGGCCTCCTTGGCTGGGCCGCACAGTGGACATACTTGGCCATCTGAGAATAAGAAAGCCCTAGAAAAAAAGGATTCAAAGCAGACTCCTGTGAGTGTGTTGAAGTGAACAGAAGAACCTGGGCTCTGAGCCCCGGAACCACAGTGAGAGACTGTACCCTAGACACTTCAGGGACAATTTAAGCACAAGCCAAAGGAAATCTCGGTTCATTTAACAGAGAACTAAATCACAGAACCTGTTGTTCCGGATGTGATACAGGGTGAGAAGAAGCAGCTTGCAAAAACATTCTACAAATTTTTAGGTGGACAGCAGACCTCGGCAAAATCTGAGACATGTGAGAATGCCCTCCACTACAAAATCGTGTCCCCCAACCCTTGTTCACAGAACCAGGATCTGCTGCAAGGGGGCTGAGGCTGTCAGGCCTCATACAGTTCACATTAAGAAGCACAAGCTTTAGGTGTTCCTCCACAGCGGAAGACACCAGCCTCAGACTTGGGAGGCACACAAAAATTCTACACCATCTTAAAGATGCCACATTAGAATAAAAGGCCAAGGGCCCAAGTGTCCTGATGTAGTAAGTGCCCTGATCCATGCTCAGGCTGAGCAGCATCCACATGCTGGACACAGTACGAGGCACTGCCCTCTCACTTGAAACTCTTGTGGATTGGGTCCATGGGCAGCTATCCCATTAAATGTTCCTTTCTCATCACCTTGCCTCAACTAGAGCACCCAGGTGGCTCCCACTCACACACGCTATTCCTCTGTCTTACTCAGCTTTCCTCTGACCATTCCAGTTCACAGAACACCTCCTCCAGGAAGCCCTCTGGCCTGAAGCATCCTGTCCTACCAAGTGTCTCCTGTGTTTCCTACCAAGAAGCCACAGCCTGGTACTCCCTCCGAGCGCAGCACTCACCACACTGTTCTGGACCTGGACTTTCCTCTTCAATCCGTCTGCCTCACTGGGCTACAACTCCTTGCAGTTTCTGACACAGAGAAGGGTCCGTCTGGCGAATTAGTTAACTAGTTACCGCAGGTCTGCGCAGCTGCTGAGGAAAAACAAGCACTTTGGAAAGAGATGTCTAGAGGGGTTAAAAACTTTCTCAACCACCAGCCCGTTTCACAAGCACCAAGCAGGACCCCGCCGGGCCAAGGCCAGAGACTCCCAGCCTTTTGGAGGAAGGAAGGCGGACCTCGCTAACATTAAGCGGCCCCCCGGGGCCCGGCAGAACGCCCCGCCTCCGCCTCTAACCTCTGGCCGTGCTCGGGGCCAGGCCGCCCGTTCCTGTTCCCGGGGAGCCTGACGAGGCTGGGCGGCCAAGTTCCCCGCCCCGCCCGGCCGGGAGCGGATGCCTAGGGACCGGCAGGAAGGGCGCCGCTGACCTCACCACCCCGAGCTCGGGGAGGGCTCGCAAGCGGCGGGACAGGAACCCAGACGGGAGGAGAAACAGGGCGGAGGGCTTGGAGCTGCGGCCCGGACTGCGCGACCCCCGGCCCCCAACTCCTGGCTCCGCGCGGGCAGCACGCACCGCCCGCAGCCCCAGGACCCTGCACGAGCCCAGCGGCGGCCCCGTCCGCCGAGCGGGAGGGGCGCTCACCTGAACACGCGCGGCTCCCGGCGCTTCCAGAACCTCCCGCGGCGGCGCCCGGCCGGCTCAGCGCCTCCTCCCCGGGCGGCTCCGCCTCCCGCCGCGGCCGGACCCCGCCCGCTTGAGCCGTTGCCACGTCCCCACCTCCTGCGCCCCTGCTGGCCGGCCTTCGCCCTGGCTCCGCGCCCTGACAGCCTCGGCCGGGGGTCGTCCCCGCCTGCGACCCCAGGGAACGTCCCGGCTGCACTGCGCGCCGGAGTCCGGCGCCGGGCGCTGGGAGCGGGCGGGGGCCGCTATCCACGCCCTTCATGCCGCCGGCTGCTTGCCGCACGTACGCCGCGCCCGCCTCCCCAGCCCTGCTCCACCTGCGGGACTCGGCCCTCCCTCCTTCTCAGCACCCCCGGCTGCTGCTAAAGGGCCCGCCACCGGATCCTGGCGCGGGTGCGGTGGGGAGCGCCCCTGTCCGCATGCGGACTCCCCTGGCCTCCGCTCCTGCGCATCTCTTCAGGGGTCCTGCTGGGCACACGCGCTCCTGCTGACCCTCAGCATCATCATCACCTCTGGATTACAGGGGCGCGGGGGTGGGGTGGGGGCCATCCGGGCCAGGGGCCCGGGTATCAGCTAAGTGGATAGACCCGTGGAGAAGACCTTGAAGGCGACGAGAGACCCGGGGTCCACCCACAGGACCAAGATCCCGAAGGGATTCTGCCTGTCCCCAGCTCCTGTATCAGGCACTCGTCCTGGTGACGAATGTGTGGGTGATGGGTTGATGAGAAGGGGACCAATCAAAGACTGAGCAGGAAGGTGGCATATTGGGACCAACTCTTGGTTTGCCCAAACCTTTTCATTCAACAGGGGCCAAAAGCAGTGGACACCTCATTTGCCTAGGCCGGTGTGTGAGGGAGTGAAGGCTGGGAGGTAGCAAAAATCTCAGCCCGATTTGAAGGAGGCCCTGGCGGCCAAGCAGTTTCCCACGCCTGCTCTGTGAACCTTCCTGGTCATGAATGAGGGGAAACACGGTCTGAGAATCTCATCAGGGAGCTAGCCCAGAGTGGGAGGTGCCCCGCCTCTGCCCGGGCTCTGTGGGGATATTCCCTGTGGCACTCTGTCCAGGCTGGCGGCCCAGCCGTCGGGAAGGCAGGAGCACACACATAGAAAGAACTACACACTGCACACATAAAATAAGGAACAAGCCACTGTTCTGACCTGCGTCAGCCACCAGCCAGAGCTCCACTAAAACCAAACAAACCTTCCTGCATCTGCTATATCCTGTTAGGACACAGAAGCCTCCCTCTGTCTGCCCAGATTTCCCTGTCCTCTCCCCCTTCTCAGGAGCTTGCCCTGTGGATCAAACCTTCTCTCTCCTGAAGTTTCAACCTGCCGTTCTCAAATGGATCCTTCCCTTGATCTAGAAATATATTTAAGCCTCTAGTGTGGAAACAAAACCCTCATTCGACTCCACCAACTACTGCAATGTCTCTCTCCTTTTCCACCCCAGCAAAAGCCCAAGACAGAACAGTCTGTCAATCCTTGTCCTCACTTCTCCCACCCCTCAGGCTCCTACAGTGGGCTTTCTGGTGTGCTCACAACACGAAACCAGCTCTATTAACTCTCTATAACTTCGGAGCCTCAAAAACCCAATAGCCTCTCTTCAGTTCTCCTCTGCTAAAGGCCCCAAACAGCATTTTACACCCTGGAACTCTCATTTTCCTTGGTTTCCATCGCCCTCTCACCACTTGCCCCAGCTTCTTCCCTCCCAGTACATCCTCCCCTCTCCTTCTCCTCCTTATGCAGTAAAGTTCAGTCCTCTTCTCAAAGTTCAAGTCTGAACCCAACACTCCAAGCTTAGTAAACAGCACTGTTCTTAGGAAAAATCCTAAAGGTGACCTGTAAGGCCCTACATGATTTGGGCCCTGCTCACTTCTTTGGTCACGCTTGACCTTCTTCCCATCCCTCTAACGGACGATTCTCCCTCCCCATCACACTCCCAGGCCCTTGCACATGCTTCTGTTTTTGCCTAGAAAATCTTCCCTCCTCCCCAATTAAATCCTTCATGTCCCCTTAGAGGGATTTTTCTTATGTCCCCGGCCGGGTCAAAACCTTCTTTAACAACCTCTCAGAGCCTATGTGCTTTGTAACACTTGCCATAGTTGATACAGTTGAATGATTATTTGATTAATGTCTGCCTCCTCCACCTGCCTGGGACCTCCAAGAGTACATTAACTGTATATTTTTGCCCATGATCATATCCGCTGCTCTGATCACAGAACTGGGCTCAATAAATACTTGCTGACTACATGAAGAGATGGGTGTCTCTTTAATCCCTTACTCCACCACACACCAGTATTCAAAGGCCTGGCTAAGTCTTCCACAGGCCCTCAGAGTCCTGTACTGCAGTCATTCCTTAGTGCCTGAATCTTCTGTCTCATAAGGATACTTGCCATTGAATTGAGGGCCACCTCCATAATCAAGATGATCTCATCAGATTATCCGAAAATTAATTACATCTGTAAAGTCTCTTTCCAAATAAGTTCACGCAAACAGGGCCCAGGTATTAGGACATGGTCGTATCTTTTTAGAGGCCACCATTCACCCCACTACCCCTGACATTCTGTCATGCCCTCCAGGGACTACTGGGCCTGGGTAAATCCATGACACTCAAGTCTGAAGCTCTAGCCCAGGCCCATTCCAGACCCACATAGCTTTTTATTTACAGCTGCTTGGTCAGTGAATTAATTATTTCCCCAAACCCTATCCACACCCCGGGACTGTTTCTGCTCCAGCATTTTCTGTGTCTCAGGAAATGAAATGAACATCTCCCAGTCATTTCTGTTTTCTTCCCCACTGCATTCGCCCATTATAGATGTTACCTAGTGGACTAGACTTGTCTGCCCACCACCACTATCCCAAGGGAAGGACCTGGTGTCTCTCCAGAAAATATGGCAAAAATACTTGGATACCTCCTACTTGGTAGATAGGTAATGGGATGAGATGTGTGGGTGCAGTACTTCCCTCCAAACAGAGGCCTCCTCAGGCTGCCCCTGATTCCCCCGGCTTACCTGTGATCTCTGGGGAAGGGGAGGGGGGCAGGCTGCACTGCTTGGCCCTGAGGCCTCCCTGGCTGCTAATGACTCTTGCAGACCTGGGCAACCACACAGCAGCAGTGGTGGCCTGGCCAGAATTTATGAGCACCTGGTCCCACCATGAAATTCCCTAGAGCCAGGTCCCCAGGGTCAATCAGTGCTGCACAGAAGACCTTGTATACGCTGACACACATCTGTACATTTGCAGCACATTCAACATACAGCTGTCCACTGGACTCTGGGACCACCACCCCACCACTCTAGTTTCTTCACTTGAGGCATTGAGGAAAAAGACTGCGTGTCCCAGTTGACCAGTACTTTGACTCCAGTCTGGCAAAAGAGGGCCTCCCAGGTACTCTGATCCAGGACCAGCTTGGTGCGTGACCCCAGAGAAAGGAAAGAGAATCTGGCAGAATTTCCAGGTCTCTGTGGGGCCAGCCCTGGACAGAGACAAGTAGGTCCCCAGAAAGTGCTCCCCAAATCCCGAGCCCATGTGGTTCATACAAAAAATAAGACAGGCCCCATGGAATGTCCCTTCCCAGCTGCCTCCCCGCTGGACCTCTGCAGCCCAAAACAGCGGAATCACCACAAGCTGGGCTGTCATTAAAGGGTGGAGAGAGGAGTCCCAGGGCCTTTGGAGCTGTAATTACCCAGCAGGTCCAGGGCAAGCCCTCGTGATAAAGATAGTAGGCTTAGATTTTAGCTTCCCTCCTCACTGCTCACGACTTCCTTCCATCCTTGGCAAGAAGCATCAGCTGGTGCAAATGCCCAGAGGACCTGAAGTTAGCTGGGTATGATGCTTACAAATCCTGATATTTTGATATATACAGATAAATCACAATTTAAAAAGTCATTATTATCGTAACACAGAAGCCCTTCATTCATCCTCCCAGATCCTTGTGCCCAAATTAAGATTGGGTAGGGATTACGTATGAGCAAGGATGAAGGGAGAGTTGGGATAGCTATTGGACATCTGACTTAGCTACTTTCTAAAAGGCTGAAAGTGCAGTGGCTTTACTATATTTTGGTTTTTTTAAGGCCTTGTCAAAATGTCAGGCAGCCAACAGAGAAGAAGGTAGGGGAGAAATGAGAGGTAAGGCTGCAGAGGTCCCAGGGGCAGATGACATGGGAGGAGTTTAGGAAAAGCACCCCAAGGAGAGAGGAGGAGGAGGAGGAGCAGAGCCTGGAGGTGATAGGGAGGGAACAGAGTCTACATGACAGGTGATGGTAACCCGAACTGAGAAATGGCAATGCATAGAGGGAAAAGTGGGTAGACTTGACAATTACAAAGAATTAAAATAGGAAGGGCTGTGTTCATTCACTCATTGGTTTATTCAACAAACATGTAGGGGCGCCTGGATGACTCAGTCAGTTGAACGCCCGACTCTGGATTTCATGGGACTGAGCCCCACACCAGGCTCTACGCTTAGTGCAGTCTACTTCAGATTCTGTCTCCCTCTCCCTCTCATTCTGTCTCTCTCTCTCAAATAAGTGAATAAATAAAATCTTACCAAAAAAACCCACACACATTTATTAAATGTTCCTTCACCCTATTCTGAGCTCATTTTCGGGGATGAGAACCTACTTCTCATCCACAATGAGGGTTTTTCACCCTTGGCTCCTTCTGCTCTGCTCCCAGAGCAGGTCCTGCTGAAAGCAATCAGTGGCAGCCCCCAGACAGCACAAGAATGAGGGGCTAGTTGACTACCCACAGAGAACACACCAGCAGCCTTCGAGGTTTCAGACTGACAAGGAATCTTAATCGCAATGTCTGATCTCCTTAATCACCAGACTCCTTCCTCCAGGAGGTAACCACCCATTTAATGATGGTTTCAACACTAACTCACTAATGTTACCCTTCCTCTCCCTGTGCTCATATCCCCTCCTATTTTTCAATGAATACATGTCATCTTGCTATAGTGATACATGTTTGTAAGTTACCTCATATCCCTTTTGGAGTGAGATGGGTGTCAGGCC